ACGCAGACAAACTCACACATACAAACACAGACAGACAAACAACGACAAACGTATTTCCGCAAACATTCAAAGCAACGAGATGAGCACACTTTGCCAATGGTCACACGACACCATTTGCTATTAAAACATATATTACATATAAGTATATATATATGATTACACATAAATAAATATATATATATATATATATATATGTGTGTGTGTGTTTGTGTGTTTGTATATATATATATATATATATATATATATGTATGTGTGTGTGTGAGTGTGTTTATAAAATATACGAACAATGTATGTTTGTACATAAGTGCTTTCATTATATAAGATGCATGCTATTGAAGTAGCAATGAAATGTATGTATGTATGTATGTATATGTATGTATGTATATGTATGTATGTATGTATGTATGTATGTATATGTATGTATGTATGTATGTATGTATGTATGTATGTATGTATGTATGTATGTATGTATGTATATATGTATGTATGTATGTATGTATGTATGTATGTATGTATGTATGTATGTATGTATGTATGTATGTATGTATGTATGTATGTATGTATGTATGTATGTATGTATGTATGTATGTATGTATGTATGTATGTATATATGTTTGTATGTAAAAGGTAATTTAAATTAATATGTAGTTGCCTGCATTGCTTCAGAACGCTCTTTGATGTTGACGAATATTGCTCGAGTTTTGAAAAATTTTTATCTTTTAAAGAAAGTTTTTAACAAAATAAATAATAAATTTTTTTTAAAAATCAGTTGTTGGTTATCATTTGTTGTTGTTGTTGTTGTATATTAATATTTCAATTAATTAATTAATAGATATTAATTTGATAATTAATTAATTAATTTATTTATTACATCAGAATTATTTTCTACTACGTGTATTCATACATGGGATGCGTTTGATATCTTCCCATTCTTAAAGCTCATTTCCAATTTAACTATTAATCTAATTATTATTAATATAAATCCATTTTAGTCATTAATTATTGTAATCATTAATTAGTTCGATTAATTAAGAATTAATTAGCTTAATTAGAAGTTAATTGGAAGTTAATTTAATTTCGAATTTCATATCTATATATATATATAACAACTAGTTGATCATCGGTTTTTTTGGCATTTTAATAAAGTTAAATAAATTTTCTCCGGCGATATAATCGTCATCATACTATCGATATAATCATCATACTACTTCGTAGTAGTTAACGTCATCATTATCATCACCGTCAACAACAACAAAAACAATCTCAACATCATCATCAGTAGCCGCAGCAACAACAACAACTCGATAGTCATCATCAGCAATAGCAACATAGAAAAAAAACAACTTCCCCATCGTTATCGAATACGGCAACAACAACCACATCATTATCATTACCTTCACAACAACAACGACAACTACAACAACAACAATAACAACAACAACGACAACCACAACAACATCTACAAAAATAACGACGACAACAACAGCAACAACAATAATAAACATCGTCTCCAGAATAGTTAGATATTAAATTAATATTAAACGCACTAAGTTGAGTCGAGATTAGTTGGATGTTAACAACATCCAGGATCGGATTACACGTGACACAGATCAGGCAAACAGACCAGTATATTCATACATAAATACATACATACATACATACATACATACATACATACATACATACATACATACATACATACATACATACATACATACATACATACATACATACATACATACATACATACATACATACATACATACATACATACATACATACATACATACATACATACATACATACATACATACATACATACATACATACATACATACATACATACATACATACATACATACATACATACATACATACATACATACATACATACATACATACATACATACATACATACACACAGACGTCCAGACATTAAACAAAGATTAGTGACGTCATAATAGCTAAACGTGACGTCATCTTACATAAAAGATATTTAATACTTGCGTACGTGCGTTTCTAATATCGCCAACTGATTGATTGACAGCTCTGGCCGGTTGGTTACGTTTAAATGTGTCTAAATTTTTTTTTCTGTAAATGTTTTTATTTATTATTCGTAAATTATTTTTATCGATTAATTAATAAATAAATTAATTAACTAAGTTACTCTTCTAATTAATTAAGTTTCTTTTCTATAAATATCACGAGAACGAAAATTATTTTAGAAATTTTTTTTTATTTAAAAATAATTCTCTCAAGTGGGTGAGTAAATAGACGCGTGATCTAATAATCGCCATCATCTTCGATATGAGATTAAGGTGTGTCTGTATATGTGTGTTTGTATGTGTTGTGTGTGTCTGTATGTGTATGTGTGCTTGTATGTGTACTGTGTGTGTCTGTATGTCTGTGTGTCTGTATTTGTTGTGTGTGTGTGTTTGTGTGTGTCTGTCTGTATGTGTGTGTTTTTGTGTGTGTGTGTGTGTGGTGTGTGGTTCTTAAGCATTCAGTGGTGCGGCGGTAGTGTAACAGTTAAGGTGTCCGCCACTAATGTCAGAGGGACCGGGATCGATTGCAGAGAGATCCCTTCTTATCATCTGCAATGTATGTCGTCCGTTGGTTCACGTGTGTTTAAATGCACTGCGTGTGTAGACAGCTAGCTATATCGTCGTTTCGTTTGATATGTGCGTGTGTTAAGTGTGTGTACGTGTGTGTACGTGTGTTTGTATGTGCACTTGTGTGTGTTAAGTGTGTGTGTTTATATATGTATGTATGTTTATATGTGTGTGGTGTGTATACATGTGAGCGCGCGCGCGTATGTTTGTATTACTATTCTTATTTACAGTTTCAAATAGCAAATCAAAACAAACGAACATACATACATACAGACAGACAGACAGACAGACAGACAGACAGACAAACAAGCAATCACAAACACAAACACAAACAAACTGCATACCATTTTTTATTTGCTTATATTTGCACATGTGTCTGCTGGTTTGTTGCTGGATCGCATTGAAGTATATAAACGCCGACTCGTGAAAATATGCGGCATATAACTTACGCTAAAAACTCGCTCGAGTTAATTATGACATTAATAAATATCTAATCAAACATAATAATAATAATAATATAATTATGACGATGACGACGACGATGAGGTGATATATTAAAAGATACAAAAACAAAATTATTAATATTATTGTTATTAAATATATTATAGCAGGTAATTAAGATCATAGTTATCGAACCTCTGTGATTTTTTGGATCTAAGCAAACTAGATTGAACGCACTGACACACACACACAGACACACACACACACACACACACACACACACACACACACACACAGACACACATACACAGACACACACACACAGACACACACACACGTACTCACACACAGATACAGAAAACTCTCTCTGACGCACGTACGTACACACACGTATACATATATTATATAAATACTAACATATTAATTGATGTAATGATGTTGTTATGTAATACCCCTTTCGTGTTACTATGTAAAGTTCTCATAGTTGTATTGTGTTTTTTCGTTAAGTTGTGTGTATGCGTTTGTACGTTGGTGTGTGTGTGTGATGAGTATGTGTGTGTGTGTGTGTGTGTGTATGTGTATTTAAGTGTGTTTAGGTGTGTGTTTAGGTGTGTGTTGTGTGTGTGTGTGTATGTATGTGGGTTGTGTCTGTGTGTGTATGTGTGTTGTGTGTGTGTGTATGTGTAGGTACGGGTTTCTGAAATATTAATTCCTGTTGAATTACAATGAAATGAAAGCATGGCATGTTTTCACCGTTGCACCAGACTGAACTCCACCATTGAATATTTTAAATTTCGTAATCAAAATTCATTGCAGTATATAAATACACACACAAACAAACAAAACAAACACACACACACACAAACAAACAAACAAACAAAACAAACACACAATTTTCATAATAACACGCGCAATAACACGAAGTAACAACAGCGTAATAAAAACTCACACGTTATTGTATGCTTGACAACGGTTGTGTAGTTTTGGGGGCTCTAGTTAGTTTATGTGTAATTGAAAGAGTTTAGTTTGGTCATCTCTAAGCATCGTAAATGCCGGCATTTGATTATAATTGTGAAACGAAACGATATTGGAATTTGAATGAAACGAGACACCGGCAGATATAACGAGATGTAACGAAATGCAGATGCTTACGTATCATCGTCAATAATTATTTTTTGGTTATCCTACGCGAGACTGAGAAATGTTAAATATAATGATCGGTTTTCCTTTTTGTGTGCGTGCGCGCGCGTGTGAGTTGATATTGTAGAATTGTGGAATTTATGATAAATAATACAGAAAATTATCTGATTAATCCGATTGTGTAATAGATGATAGATTAATATTGCTTGTATGTAAGTGTAAAATACATGTGAGCGTGTATGTGTTTTCACGCCTGTTTGTACGTGTGTGTGTGTGTGAGTGTGTGTGTGTGTGTAAGTGTATGATGTGTGTGTATGTGTTTGGCTTGTATTTTGTGTTATTTCAATGTAAAGTCAAGGCATCGAACTTTAAATATTCATTTAACTTTACTTTAAACTTTTAATTCTTAATTGGCAAACAATGACGAATGAACAAACAGACAAACAAAAATTAATAACGCGTTTTTTAAATTCAACGATATTTTTACGTTCAAATGTTTTTCAATAACATCACTTTTTGTGAACTCTACTTCTTTGTTATGCAAAAAATATTGCAAAAAGAGGTAACATATTTTTACTAATAAAAATAATACGGTCAGCGTTTTATAAGGCTGGTGATAGTCATGAATTTATATCTTCACAGATTTTGAAGAAAGCCCAACCGCCACATCATCAACGTTAACATCAACTTTGACATCTGAAGATCATCACCAATAAAGAAAAAAACCCCAACAACTATAACAAAACATTAACAGCAGCAACAACAACAGCAAGCAACAACAACAACAATAGCAGCCACAACAACAACATGAACATACTAACTCCAAACATCAATCATTGCAACGGCATTCACGGTAGCAGCAACAACAACAACAACAACGAAAGCAGCATCAAACAATTTTACAACAACGTTGGCTGGGCGAGACTACCAAACAACAACGTCAACAATTGTTTCCCACTCAGCCACAACAACTACATCAACAACGTCAACAACAACAACTCAGTAAAAGAGTTAACGTCACCCTGCACTCCCGGTAGTCAATTTTCTCAATCTGACAGCAATGTTGACGACAACGACGACGACAACAATAGCAGCAACAACAACAACGACAACAGCAACAACAATTTGGACGCCGAGGGCATATGGAGTGCCGATATTGAGCAGGCGTTCATTGAGGCCATGGCTATCTACCCGCCGTGTGGAAGGAGGAAGATCATTCTATCTGAAGAGGGCAAGATGTACGGTAAGTACTAAAATAAAAATAAGAATGGGAACAGATCTTTTATTTTTCATCAAATGCGTAAAGTCAATAATTAATTAATTAATTAATTAATAAGGAAATAGTCATGATTAAAATAAAATTAAATTTAAATAAAATTTAAATAAAATCATAATCATCATAGTTAGTCATAGTAATAATAATAATAATAATAATAATAATAATAATAATAATAATGATATTAATAATAATAATATTAATAATAATAATAACAATAATGTAATGGGAACACCTTTTTATTTTCATCCTAAAAACATACATGAAGTGAAAGAAACAATAATTGTCAATGATAATCAAAATTAAAAAAATATATGTATATATAGTAAACTGTTATAAAATAATCACCGTAGCTCATCATCTATAAAAAGAATGTGTACCACGAGAGCAGATTAGTCCTAAATGGTTCATTCAATTTTCATTTCTATCACAGTAAATACTATATGACGACGAAATTGCTTCATAAATAAGGCTGTTGATAAAATCATCAGTCCACATTAAATTAATCAGAGACAAATCAAAAGTTTTAAAATTATCTAAAGAGGATATTTCAAATAATAATAATAAAAAGAATTATAATAATAATAATTATTATAATTATAATAATAATAACAACAACAATTTTGCTCTGGTGATAGTAATGATGATGTTTGTGATAACGTTGACGTTGATGATGATGATGATGATGTTGTTGGAGTTGGTGGTGGTGACGCTGAATAAGAAACAATAACAGCATCTACATGATTCTCTGGCTTTGATGTGTAGGATTATTGACTAAGAACAAGCGATATATGTCTGTACTCTCGGTTGCCGATCTGGACAATTTTGAAAGGGGTGTGGCCAAAAATTAGAAAATGTTTAAAATTTTCACGGTGGGGGCAAAAATTTTTACTGGGGTGGTTGGCCACAAGTTGTGGTAGTAGTAGTGTGTGGCTGAAGACTTTTTTAATCTTATCACGTTCAATTGTTGGTCTATTTTACACAAATACGGTCCTTTATCAGTCTATTATTAAAAAACTTTTTACAATCGCTAGATCTGCCCTGTCTGTCCTGCACTATACTATACTAACATCAAACAATTATTGATTATAATTTATGTAGTCAAGATAATTTATATTAAATGTTAATAATTATTTGATATATTTAAGAGAAATTCTCACTGAGGTGGTTCTGCCCGATGGGTTAGTCTGGGAGTCCTCATAGACAGCCTCTACCTTTAACTTTTTTGCGTCAAATAAAATGTTGTATTGTTTGTTTCATTTTATAATTTTAATCTCAGGTCGCAACGAGTTGATAGCTCGCTACATCCGCCTGCGAACTGGAAAGACGAGGACACGCAAGCAGGTCTCCAGCCATATACAGGTCCTTGGAAGGAGGCATATCAAGTTCATCAATGCTGCTACCTATAAGGTTGGCTGGTTTATCGGCTGGCTGGCTGGCTGGCTGGTTGATTGGTGGGTTGGCTTGTTGGCTGGTTGGTTGGTTGGCTGGTTATTTGGTTTGTTAGTTGGTTGGTTGATTGGTTGATTGGTTGGTTAGTTGGTTTGTTAGTTGGTTTGTTGGTTGGTTGGTTGGCTTGTTGGTTGGTTGGATGGCTGGCTGGCTCTGCTCTTGTCAATACTGCAAATTAATGAATAAAATCCATTAATAACAAAAAAAACAGTAATAATGTTATCGACAATAATAATGCTGACATCAATAACAATAATTATGATGATAATAATAATAATAACAATAATAATAATAACAACACAAACAGTTGCACGCCTTCAAGGAGCACCCTTACTTCAATCTGACCCCGTCGTCCCCCATTAAACGACAGGGCAACTTCTTCAACAACAACTTCTTTAACTTCAACAAAAACGAAAACAACAACGACAACAACAACAACGACAACAACAATAATAATAATATTCATACAAACTTTTCAACACCGCTAAAAGATAATATTGAATGTTTCAAAGATAGCAACAACAACTTTGTTAGTAGTTACAACAACAACAACAACAACAACAACAACAACAACAACAACAACAACAACAACAACAGCAACAACAACAACAGCAACAACAGCAACAACAGCAACAACAACAACAACAACAATAGTATTAACAATAATAAAAATGACATCAACAACAACATTTATAGTGACATTAATAAAAACAACGACAAATATAACATGAGTAAAAAGCGACAAAAAGATGACGAAGAGGACGACGACGATGACAAAGATGATGGTGCTGATGACGATAACGAAATTGACGTCAGCAAGAACGATGATGATGATGATGATGATGTTAATGATAATCAAGATAATTACAGTCATCATTATCATCCCAAAAGAGTGAAAATCAGTGAAAGGAATGAGAAGCAGTGTGACGACAAAGATGTAAGAAGCACAAAAACAACATCTTCATCGTCATCGTCATCTGAGTTCGTTCCTGATTCGACCTTCTCACCGGCAACTATTGACCATCCAGCCAGATTTCTCAACAACAACAACAACAACAACAAAAGCAGCAACAACAACAACATTCATAAAGATCACATCACCAACACTACCAATGACAACGGTCTTTGCAATGGAAACGATTATAACAACAGCAACAACGACAACCCCAATAGCAACGTCAACAACATTGGCGATAACAACAACAACAATATGTACAACTCCTTCCCTTCTCCTCACCTTCCTTATTATAACATCAATAGCAACAACAACATAATAAACAACGACAACAACAACAACTACGACAACAACTACACTTCAACGACACGCAACATGATGATGTTGATGATGATGAAACCACCTCAGGCACACACGTACTCACCACATCTCAACAGCTATGTTTGTTGTTGCTGTTGTTGTTGTATTGTTGCTGTTGTTGTATTGTTGTTTTTTTGTTGTTTTTGTTATAGTTTTGTTTGTTGGTGTTTTTGTTCTGTTGGTGGGGTTGACGATTTTGTTGTTGCTGGTAACTAATTTGATGTTGTTGTGATTGTCGTTGCTCTGTTCTATATTATATTTTTGACACAAATAATTTAATCAAAAATATTAATTAGGTTTATTATTTTTTTTCAGCCCTGGTCCCCGTCACATGACAGGTTGAAAGCATGATGTTGTTGCTGTTGTTATTATTAATGCTGATGTTGTTGTATATATTATTGTTGTTATTGTTTACGTTGTTTTTGTTGTTTATGTTGCTGTTGTTGTTGTAATTGTTGTTGTTATTGTTTTATTTGTTATTGTTTTTTTTATTGTTGTTATTGTTTACGTTGTTGTTGTTTATCTTGCTGTTGTTGTTGTAATTGTTGTTGTAAATGTTGCTTCGTTGTTTTTGTAAGTTTTTGAATATAACATGCAGTCTCTAGTTTGGCATACTGACCATTGGCTATGCTCGACATATCGCTGGCTATTTTTGCACGTATTGTATGATCTTTAGAGGAGCATCAGAAATTAAATCCACGTCCACTGACTTTATAAGTGATTTGCCCGAATCTAAAAATGTTCTGCGCTTCACAAATGCTGACATTGTGTAATGTTTGCTGTTCCAATTTGGCCAAGGTCTTTTATTCAGTTTTTGTTATTGTAGATGAATAAAACTGAATGAAACTTTTTCATGTTAAATGAACCGATCATATTTTTAGATTTTTTGATCGTTGTTGTTGTTTCCGTTGTTGTTGTTGTTGTTTCTGTTGTTGTTGTTTATGGTGCGTTATTGTTTTTGTAGGCTTTTAAGTATAATCTTTTCTGGTTAACTGAACTGGATCAGATTTTTAAATTTTATTAACAAATGCAAACAACACCTATCAGTATCAGCAACAATAACATTTTCATAGATTTTCAAGGATGCACTCTCCATACAATCACATGACGCCAACAACCGCGCTCTATAACCACAACATCAGCAGCCACAGCCACAACACCAACAGCCACAATATCAACAGCCACAACAGCAGTAGCCACAACAACATCAACAGCCACAACAACATCCCAACAACGCCGACATCAACAAAATTCAACGAAAGAAATACAATGACGCCGACCACTTGTCTTTTGCCGCAAGATTTAACATCACCCCGCCATCAACAACATCAACAACGACAACATCAACAACAACAACAACATCAACAACGACAACATCAACAACAACATCACGAAGAAGACTTCAAATGTTACATAGAATCCAAAAAGTTGAAATTAATTGAACTAGTAGCCTTCGTTGAATTTCACAACACTACCGACAAGGTAATTTTTATTTTTCAACAAGTTTTGTTGTTATTAATTTTATTATTCATATTGTTAATTATTGTTGATTGTATTTTTGATTTGAAATTCAATCACCAATGCGGTACTTTTGAACGTTCATTATAGATAATTTCTTCAATTATCAAAGTTTAGCGCGTTTTCTAACTGGCAAACTTTGGATTTAAAATTAAGTTTTGCCGCTTTTATTGTAGATTTGTTTCTAAAAACTTGTTTAATAATAATAATAACAATTAATAATAATAATAGTTAATTAATTAATAACAATAAATATAGTGACAATTAATAATGAGAGTTAATAAATAATAATGAAATGATTATTTCCAATATTTGAACAGCCCACTCACAACTTCCTCTGCATCGATCAATCAACATACGATGACCAAGAATTCGAGGTAAGATCCGCTTCTTCTTCTTCTTCTTCTTTCTTCTTCTTCTTCTTCTTCTCCTCCATCTTGTTCTTGTTCTTTTTGTTCTTCTTGTTTTTATTATTATTATTATTATTACCAACAACGCAGACGATCGACATACGATGTATCCAAGACAAATTCCCATCGAGCAAGGGCGGTCTAAAGGATCTGTTCGACAGGGGACCCAACAATTCCTTCTACCTCGTTAAATTTTGGGTCTGTGACACCATCCATTTTAACTAATTGACACACACAATGACATTACACACACACAAAACAAAACTACACACACACACACAAAACGAAACCACACACACACACAGACACAACACACACAACACACACATTGCATAAGATAGGCAGAAAGACTTCATTTGCATTCAAACCCGGTAACTGCAACGTAAGATCAGGCGCCCTTAACCGTTTTACTACCAGGCCGCCTAATTCATTTCTAAATTTTTCCCCTTTGCAGGCAAACTTGAATTTAAACTTGGATGACATTTCTGGATTGTTCCTCGCCTCTACAACCAGGCACGTTTGAATGATTGAGTGAATGAGTGAGAGTGCGAATAAAAGAAGTATGAATGAAAGAATGTGAACATATGAAAATTTAGTAGTTGATGAATCTAGAAATAAATACAAAAATTGGTTGAATGAAAAAGTATGCGTAAACTCTGGCGTAGGCTGATGTGTGCACGTGCTAATATATGCATGTACAATGTACATTCAGGGGTTTGTACACATATCTGCTACAGCCCGGTAAGTTTTTCTATCAAAACTATCTCTAGACGCTGCTTTCATAATTTGAAAAAATTTTCAAAAATAAAAGAAAGAAAAACAATTCAAAATTTAAAAGTAAGAAAAACAATTCAAAATTATCAATCTACACCGTTAGATTCGTGAGCAGGACATTTTGCTCTGAGATTCAATCATCCACGAAGATCTGTTCGTTTGGAAGGCAGGTTGTCGAGAAAATTGAGGTTTGTTGGTGTGGTGTTGGTTGGTGTGGTGTTTGTTGGTGTAGCACTGGTTGATGTGGTGGGTGCCATTAAATTTATGTAATCAAATTTTCAGAAGAAAACCTACTTGTAATAAAATTCAGAAAAAATACTTCAAACATGTCCGCTCTTTTTCAACTTCGGATAAACAAAGCGAGTGCTAAAACAAAAACAAACAATTGTAAAACACCTGACAAACATACGCACATACACACACACACACACACACACACACGAACACACACTTGTAGAAAGAGCACTGCAGATGTTTGGAAGAGAGGGAGCAAGGCATCTTCGAATACAATTTCATACGATCCCCCATGTGTGACTACCTGACCAGCTTCATATACAAACTCAGCCAGCTTCCAACGCGTCACATGATGAACAGTGTCCTAGAGAACTTCACCATTTTGCAGGTTCTTATAAGAAGAGATTACGCGATTATACATCGCGCAGATCCTTCTGAGAAACTGCAATATTTTTTTTCACTAACGTTTAACTTATTTTATTTGGACCACATGCATTGGTGTTAATTAATACGGATTACACGTTGTAAATCGTATGAAAGGTTGCAGGTATAAATACATATACAGGCGTATTTACATGTACAATGTGTCATTTGCATGTAACAATGCATACACTAAACTTAACGAATTGACATACTCACTTATTGAGGAGTAGTATTTTTTATTTAATGAGACACCTCAACAACATCAAATCTACCTAGGCGTTTAATTGAAATTTAATTCATTCATTCATTCATTCATTCATTCATTCATTCATTCATTCATTCCATTCATTCATTCATTCATTCACTCAATCAATCAATCAATCAAACAAACAAATGAATGACGACTCTTAACTATAACAAACACCTCCCAGGTTATAACATCAGTGGAGACGCAAGAAATACTGCTAAGCATAGCTTACGTCTTTGAAGTTGGAGATTGCGATAAGCAGCATCACATCTACAGGCTCACCTGTTCATGATTATTTCGAATTTATATTCGATGTGACGTCATTTCTCTGTACCATAATTTTATCCGTTACGTCATGAATTCCCTCACTTTATCTGATGTAGACTTGAACGTTATTTATCATCATATCATTTTGAAGTTGTTTTACGCTTGATCATATTGTTTGAGCCTAAAGAATGCCTTATATTTTTCATAAATATTCTTCTTATTATAATTATTATCTGTATTATTATTATTATTATGGCTGTTATTATTATTATTATTATTACTATAAAATAAAGCTTCATTTGTTTCGAAATACACCGAAAAATTTTACTTCAAATTTGCCGATTCACTAAGTTTTGATTGTATATTTAATGATTTTAATTTTCGATTAATAAATCTTGTGCCTTACTTCATTGAGTTTCAAATTGTGTTTTTCGATGAATTAACTTAACTGTTTAATAAGAGTAGGTACGTGTAGCTTTCAAACTGCATTATATTGCATGCGCCTATGTAACATAACTTTATTTTCCTCCGATGGGATCAATTTCCCTAATGTCCAACAGCGCTCCTCAATGAATTTTGCAGAAAGATGGGCTTTGAGATCCGTCGTTTTAAACATCTTGAGTGACAAAAGAGTAGTTAGAAAATGCAGTATAGAGTTTCAGAGAGAAGGGCCAAAAAAAAACAAAAACTCAAATCACCAATACGAAATTTTTTGAACCAACTTTTCATGGTAGGCTCAGAAGCACTGAATCTCCTCTTCTTTCCACAATATCGCAAACTGAGTACTGCTATCCGCCCATGCGTTTGATGCGCTGTTTCACATGTACTTACATGTACTGTGCGTTTGTTGTAGCTCGCCTGGCCTGACGAGATGCCAAGTTATTTAATTTAAACCTTCAGGAATGAAGGTTTAAATTAAATAACTTAAAAATAAATTAAACTCAGCGTGTTTGTTTCTAGACGGCGTGATGGTCTAAATGGGCGACGTGATGGTCTAATGGTTAAGGTCGCCTGGTGCTGTTTCGCAGTAACCGGGTTCGAATATGACAAAAAGATCCCCGCCTATCACATGCTTCGTGTGTGATGCGTCGTTTAGCACGTATTCATTTACGATGTTTGTGCGCTTTGTACAAACATCGTAACTTTGGAACCTTGGAAACTTCCTCTGAACTTTGGAAGAGTGTAGTTGACCTAGACGCATCTGAAAATATTGAAGAGTGGTTTGTAATAAAATAAAATAAACATTACGGGTTGCGTTAGCAGCTTTATGCCCGAGTTCAAACTCACGAAGCAAAATTTGGAAATTTGAAAAGCACACATTACAAACATTTTTAAATGTGGCATGGAAACAAACTCACCCAGTGAAATATCACACTAATTTACTAAATATTTAAAATAAGCTAGATAGAAAAATAAATATCCCTTAAAGTTATATATAATTTTTTATCAATATATCCAATGAAATTAATTCAAAATCTTTTTGTCGTGCAACCGTCATTTTCGCATCAACCTAACATGGGGACCAAAGATGATCACTGCTAGATGTTTGTATCATTTAATGGTGCGCTACACGATTTATTTACAACTGGTTTATTAGACAAACCGTCGCTTTTGTTTGGGAAGAAAAATAAATTTCCTCGATCAAAATGTAAAAATTAGTCGGATAATCTGTCGATTAAATATTTCGTCGTTGCATTCTTTGCTTTTAAGTTCGAAAATTCGTTCAAACAAAAAATGGTACGATTTTAACTTTTTGTATGACCTATATAAGAATCAAAATGATAATGTGTAGTCGGAAATAAAAGATGAACGTTACCTACAAATAATAATAATTAGTTCAGTTCAGATTTAGAAATCAGTGATTGGCAGGTTTAGATTTGTATTCGATCGTTCATCCATTAATCAAAACTTTTTTGTGTTTGTTTCTTTATTTAAAGTATTTTAAATTGGTTTGCAATGGACCAGACAAACGTGGGGTTCTGCCACTTTGAATCGATTCCTGGATTTGCTGGAGATATGGATTGTCAACCAGGTAACAGTTCCGCTCCCAGACATGCGCACAGCTCCAGAAACGGCCAAAACATATCTCAACAAACGATGAATGCAATATTTGAAAACCACGAATTTCCTCCTGGTGATAATTCATATGAAAATAATTCATCAGCTCCCTCACAATTTTTTATGTCACCAGATGTCTTCAATATTGCTCCATCATCCTCTTCATCTTCTTCATCCACATCCTCATCAGCCAATGCTCCTATGTTTAATTTTCTCTCGCAAGCTGATTTAACAAGAGTGTATCCATTTATCCAGAGAGGGTCGGCCATATTGGATCATTCTCATCACCATCTTCCTCATCAACTTACCCACTCCATTTTTCCCATGCACCGATTTCCTGATCTACTCAACAGCAATCCAGAGGTCCTCCCCACTCTCAATTTCCACCCAGATCTTAGAAATCCTGGTTCATTTTTCAGGCCCCAGTTTAATATGCAGCAGAATCAACAGCAACATTTTTTAAAACTACCCTCCTTACCATCGTTATCTCTCAACACAACAACATCGACCCTTACCTCATCCTCATCGTCTCCTTCGTCATCTATCCCCATCAATCAATCTCCTCAGTTGGTTGGCTCTAATGCTTACAAACCAAATGAACAAATGTTATCAAAGTGTGAGCCGGCCGTCAACAGCAACAACAACATTAACAACAACAGCAGTAATAGTGTCAACAACAACAACATCATGGCTAATATGGCTCACAACAACAATCCGAACAATAATAATAACAACAGCATGATAGCAAATAACATGCACAATGCAAAGCTGCCAACAAATTTCATCAAACAATCTCAGTCTCCAAACTTTGTGAACAATGTGAACATCAACCCCATGCCAATGAATAACAACAACAACAGTTTGAATGATGGTGGAAACAACAACAACAACAATGCCATGATGCACAACAACATGGGAAATATTCATGTGGTAAATGTTGAGCAACACCAACATCATCATCAACACCACCATCACTCTCAGCAACATCAACAATTACTACAACAACAACAACAACAGCAGCCTGCAGATGATAATGGCAGTTTCAATCCCAAAGTTAAAAAGTGCAAATCAAAGATGAAAAACAGCAACAACATCCTCATAAATAACAACAACAACAACAACATTATGATCAATAACAACAACAACATTGTCACTAATAACAATATTATCAACAACAATAACAATATGATGAATGCCAATGATTGTGAAAACCAGCCAAACAAACAACAATTACTAAACAGTAGTAGCAACAATAGCAGCAACAACATCAACGATATTGAAAATAGTTGTTCGCAAATGAACAACAACAACAACAACCACGTCGATGAATTTATCAAACACATGCTATCGACGACACCATCGACGACATCAAATTTTCAACAAAACCTCAACGACTCGATCAATTCCATCAACCAGTTTGAAAATCAAATCAGTAACGATTCCAACAGCAACAACTTCAACAACAAGCAACAGCTACAACAGCAGATACAACAGCAACAACACTACAACATGACACAACAACAACACAACAACAACAACAATTCTCAACTGGATCAGCAGCAGCAGCAAATACTTTCACCTTCAGCAGCTACAACGACACCCACAATCCCGATACATCCCCCGACACAATCGATGAAGTTCGACAACCTGGTCCACATAACGGAGCACCAGTGCATCATCGTCAACAGCAAGAAGAGGTGGAAGTGCAGCGAGTGTCCCAAGATGTACAGTACGAAACACAACCTCGTCACGCACATGCTCGGCCATAAGGGAATCAAACCTCATTTCTGTTCTCTTTGTGGAAAATATTTTAAGCAGGTCTGTAGCTATTGCTTAGTTTTAGATTTTTGTTTTTGCTTATAATTGATTGTTCTTTCAGGTGTAGGTGTTTTTCCTACATTCATTTGTAGTTTTCCTTTAGTTTATAATTATGCATATAATCATTTTACTGGATCATGATTTGTTTTCGCTATTGGTTCCTCAGACATTTCTGTTTATTAACCAATTAAAATGTGAAAATGTTTCAGTTTATCTATCCATTTGTCACTTGTCAACCAGTCATTGATTGGTTCATATGTCCATTCATTCCCCCACTGTAAACAGATCAGCCACCTGTCGACGCACATGTTAACGCACGGAAACATCAAACCTCACTCATGTCCAATATGTTTCCGAAGTTTCACCCAGTCATGCCACGTGAAGCGACACATGGTGGTGCATGAACACGACAAATCGCACGTCTGCTCGGTCTGTGGCAGAGGATTTGCTTATGCTAATGATCTTAAGAAGCATTATCTCAAGCACGAGGTTTGTGGGGGTTTGTTGTTGTTGTTGTTGTTGTTTGTGGGGGTTTGTTGTTGTTGTTGTTGTTGGGGGTTTGTTGATGGTTGTCTTGTCTGTAGGCTTTGATTATCAGTGCCTGTTTTTGATTGCTGTCTGTTAGGTATTTTTATTGTAAATGTTTCATCCTTACAAATATGGGTTATTGCCAATGCAAGTCTTAACTTCGTTAATAGTAATGAAAGTAATTCATTCTTCTAATATAATTCAAATGCATGTATCAGTATATGCCTCCCTTGTTTCTCATGTAAAAATCTGCATCTTTATATCATTAAATTTTAACAAGGCCTCTTTGCCTAAGCTAACTGCTATAAAAATGGTAGGCTGTAGTAAGAGAGTTTAAACTAAACAAGGAATGCTTCGGTCATTTTTGGCTGTTAGATGAGATTTAAGTAGTTACATGTTGTGACTTTTAGTCTGGAGTCATTATTCATCATCATTATTATTATTACATTATTATTTTGTAATTATATTAATCCTGACTTTGAAATTCAAATCAGGCTCCAAAGGAGAATAGTGAGTCCCAGAATATTTCACTGACTACATCGGCGACACCATCAATGGATGTTACCTCACCTAATGTGACTATCACGTCACCAACTCCCCTGTCCAACATGATGTCTCCAGCGTCAACGACAATAACCCCATCGCAGTCGATGACGACGACAATGATTCCACCGACACCAACGACGATGAATTTGTCATCGACAGCTGCGACACCATCGCTGTACTCGGGTGATAGTTCAGCTAACAAGTCCAAACAGATGCCAACAGCATTCAGGAGGCACAAGAATGCCGTTAGTTCGACTGTACATTGAATTCAACTTCTCTTTTTATATGTAGTATTACTTGTAAGATTCTCATGATTTTAGAATTCATTGAATTTTAAATGTATTTATTTGTGAATCGTTATGTTATGCTATGTTGTCTACTATCATTTCAATGGTACTGCTTTTTTAATTGAATTGGAAGCGATGCAATTACGATGATGTCAGATGTAATAGAAAGTGATGTGATAATGATAAGAGCTGGATATGTTGAAAGATAGTGATGGATGTGACTGTGTAGCGATGATGATGACAAAGACGAACATCACGAGCAGCTGCATGGCGTGTTGTGACGTGGTGACGATGATGACGTTGCAGACATCGTGTGACCAGTGTGAGATGAGATTTGAGACGAAGGAGCAACTAATAAACCATCGCTCCATCCAGCACAAGGAGATGTTCACGTGCGTCGAGTGCGACAAAGTCTTTGCCTACCCGAGCCAGCTGAAGCACCATTACTCCAAACACAACAACATCAGGCCATTCATATGTGGAGAGTGTGGAGTCAACTTTATGAAGGTTTCTTCGTTATTACCATTGCTTGTTTGTCTGTTTTGTCTGTCTGTTTGTCTTTTTGTTTGCTTGTTTGTTTGTTGGCAACTTTGAGGATGTTGATCAAAACCATTTTCCAGCAATTTTTTACTAGATTTTCATTGGATCACAAATTTATTCTTCACGAAAGAATGAGATCATGTCGTGATCAGCTGTCACCATATAACTCCCTCATTGTATACACCATATAACCTCCTCATTGTGTACACCATATAACTTTCTCTCCGACTGCACGCCACCATTCATTCATTCATTCATTCATTCATTCATTCATTCAGGAGCACCATCTGAAAGCCCACATGTTCACCCACACGGGCCTCAAACCGTACGACTGCAAGACCTGCGGCAGGGCATTCAACCAGAAGGCCAACCTGAGACGCCACATTCTGATCCACGACGCGCAGAAAAAGTACTCGTGCGACGTTTGCGGCAAGCTGTTCACGCAGTTGCAGATTCTGAGGGCTCATCTCATCACGCATCGAGAGCTTAAACCGTTTCAATGTAAAGTCTGTGGTAAGTGCTGCATCAACGAACAGACACGTGACCCGTTCGTTGCGTTACGTCATATATGACGTCAACAAACACACAAATCTACAATGCAATACTGCTTTAACAAAAACATCAACAAACACCGTCCACCCATGCATACATATACATGTACGTGCTTACATGTATACATACTTATGAACATACATACATTCATACATACATACACACACACATACATACATATACTGGCAGATAAGCGTTTCAGTCGTCTGCACAATTTGAATGGACACATGCACCTGCATGGCGGGGATCGGCCGTATGTGTGTTCTTGTGGCAGTTCGTTCACTCTTAAAGGTTTTTTCATCATTCTTTCTTTCATTCATTCATTCAGTCGTTCATTCAGTCCTTTCTTCGCTCTTTCATTCCGTCATTCATTTTACTTAACGTCTTATGTTCAGATGTGGTACACGATTTTTAACCGGAAGTTATGCTGCCAGTTCAATTATTTTCTTTAATAAAAATATAATCAAGTTAACTGTCATTAAGAATTCAAATAACTGATTGAAAATTTCAACAATAACACATTTAGGCAACTTGAATAGACACAAAAAGGATAAGAATTGTCAGCCAATAGAAATGATTGAGCTGGATGACATCATCGACACCAAGCCAATCCTGGACGTCCTGAACATGCAGGCTGTCGTCATGGATCCGACGGACAAGGGAATGTCCATGAATGATGACCAACAAATGAAAATTGATTCAGATGCCACTGCTGACAAGGTGACAACAGGATGATGACGACGACGATGATGAAGATGACGATGATGGTGATGATGGTGCTTGTGATGTTGATGATGGCGATGGTAATGATGGATGTGTTAACAATGTGATGACGTTGATGAGATTGAAATGATGAAATAAACTTTGTCCTGGTTGGTGTTGATGATGATGATGATAGAGGTGATAATATTAGCTATGATGATGATAGAAATGATTGTGAAATACTATCAGTACTGTTTTGTTAACTTTGTTGTTTGTTTTTGCTGATACAACTCATTGTATTTCTTACTGAAAAGTCAGTTAGAATTGTTATAAGAAGTGATTTTTTATAGTTAAGACAATACTAACAACAGCAATAATGATGCTAGTTTCATACTGCCATTAATTAACTAATTAATTGTTAATTGCTGTTAAATAATTGAATAGCATCTTGAGAACTTGCATAGCATGCAAAACAACAACAACAATGACGGAGATGACGATGACGAAGACGACGACGATGCAGAGGATGATGAACAGAAGAACTGCAACGAGCTTCTTAGCTTCATGGTCGGTTGTTTAACAAAATCAAGTTTGACACTTGGTTTGAACTCACTTTACCATCATCATTGTAGATACTTCAGTGTACCAATGAAATATGAGATATATGATGTATTAAATGAATGTAGAAACTGGGTTTTTTGTATTTTTCTGGAAATATAGAAACAGTTATTTCTTAACTTTTGTTCTTGTTAATTTATCTGCATTCAGAAATATTTTGGTATATTCTCATTTGCTCTATATAAATTTAATTGTATGGCATGAGGTCGTATCTATTTCGTTATATATGATGAAGAGGAATTTAATGGGGACTTTAAAAGTTATCAAGATCACTTGAATAACCAAATAATTTAAGCAACAGTTGGATATTCTAAACGACAGATAATTTATACTTCTAGCAAAATGACTAGTACTAATGATAAACTACTGTTTGGCTTTCAACTCTAACAAAGTAACGAACTAACGAAACTGACCCCTGAATGTAGATGAACAAAGAGATGGTACAGCAGCAGCACGAGAATGAAGATGAGGAGAACAAACAACAACAACAGCAGCAGCAGCAACAACAACAACAACACATGCCAAATGAGTACAACTCGTCAGGCTCTTCATCCAATCATGATAACAACAATCATGTTGCTGGTTAGTTGATCTATTCTTATACATTATCTTCTCTGTTATTTATTTTTTATAAATTTAATTTGTCTTTTTTTATAAATTTGATTGAGTTTATTAATTTTTTTAAAACCCAATTAGCCCTTATAATCAAGTAGTTGTAAGACAATTTGCTATACTATACGTGATGTGTAACGAGACAACACTAACCATACAGTGAACAACAATTCTCATTGAAATTTGCCTCACTCCAACATACTTGCTATTGCCGGCACTTCTTTATATACCATTATATAAAATTCTACATGTCTGCAGTGCCGAAACCTAATGTTTAAACTATTTTTTAAACAATTATTTAAAGTTTTGTAGACACAAATTTTTGTTTGTCTTTAAATTACAATGGTTAACCAGGTGTAATGGGAGACTATCGTAGAGACCTTCCCCCAGAGGATGTCAATCAAACAATGCAGACCAATCAAAACTACCCACCCACATCATTCAATTCCATTGGCGATGATAACCAGAATAGAAGTAATAGAAGTTGCAGCGATGAGAATGACGAAACTGACGACGACCACTCTAACGAACGAACTGTCGACCAGTCTTGATACGTTATTGAAATTTTTATGTTAATAATCAACAATGATATTGACGAAACAATTAACATTTACATTGTACATGGGTGCACACACACACACACATACATACACACGTTTATATATATGTGTAAATTATAAATATATATATGTATCATTATGTATAATCTGAATGCATGTTTTTCTGATTTTGTATATAGTCTATACGTGCGTAATGGTAGTAACAAATAAACTGGGTTACAAATGAATTAGATTTGCATGTCAGCTGTCAATCTGATGAGTTATTGTCTGTAAATTTCAAGCATTCATGTTGGCTAACGCTCCACGGATTTTAAAAGTTTATTTTAAATTCTTACTTGTTTGCATTTTAAACTTACGACATGAATCTCCGTTACCTTTTTTTACATTTTTCAAAAAATTGTTGAGACAACCACCTACATCAATGACTCAGACACATACAAAGCATCATCGTTAATAAATTTCATTCACGGAGCATGCGTTGTTAACACAGGCATGCTATTTAAAGTTGATTCAACCCATCAAAACCTCATACACACATACGCGCGCACACAATTGTGTGCGTGATATACATGGACCTTAATTTAGTTTTATTTTTGTTTTTATTTAAAAAAAGTCAAAACCGTTAATCGTTTGAAGATCGTTTTATTATTGAAGATTTTTTATCAGTCAATCAAACAAACGTTAACGAATGTAATATTTATAATCTTCTTCCTCTTCTGCCTCCCTTCCTCCTTGTCGAGTCTGATGGAATCGGGGTGACATCCTCTGTTGTGTGGGTGAACACGTAGGCAAATAAATAAATCAAAACTATAATTAACTGAGCACTGATACAAAGTAAAAATGACCATCGAACATGTATGTGTAGTTAGTTATTAAATGTTGGGGAAAATAAAAATAAATTGATAGGTTAAAAAATTCTTAGAAATCAAATAACTAAAAAATAAGCACTGAATGAAATACAGACCAATCCTTCCGATCTTCATTCCCGACCTGGCCAATGCCCTCAGAGCTGACTGAGCGCCAGGTCCTGGGGTCTTCGTTCTGTTGTTAGAAGCGGTTCACAATAGAAATAAATAAATTTTATCATATAAGGATTAAAATCAAAACAAAGACATGAAAATCATTATTGAAGCCACACTTTAGATGGTCAAATAAATTTAAGCCTAATAATGCCTGTAGAAAAACAATTGAGTGTTTATAAATTAGTATAATTTTAATTTATGGCAAACCAAATCTTGAAGCACTGGTTTAAGTTACGATTTGAATGATTTATTAAATGGGTGATTATCTCCGACTGTACTTATCCAGATAACCATGCAAAGTTATCAACTGCTTTGATTAAGAATGATGCCATACAACTAAGAATGACCTAGCTAATGCTAATCTGATCAAAATTATCTTAGTCAATGTGCCGGTTTTTAAAAAAAATGAACAAATTTACCTAGAACTAAAAAAGGAATGCAATAAAATTTCAATGTGTCATTGAAAAACATTACTAACAGAAAAATTTGTTAGTTTAAATTTTAAAATAAAATTAAGCCCACCTATTTCCACCAGTAGCTCTCAATTTAATGTGAAGAGCAGTTATCCCTATCTGCTTGCATCTCTCAGCAACATCTTGAGCGGCCAACATGGCAGCGTAAGGTGACGACTCATCTCTATCTGCCTTAACTTTCATGCCACCAGTTACTCGCACAATCGTTTCTCTGAAAAAATATTTCAATTTATAATTTATTCAATACTACCTCATTAGTAGCAGTAAGAATGCAAGTGAAAATTAACAAACTTTCCAGAAAGATCGGTAACGTGAACGAACGTATCGTTGAAGCTGGCAAATATGTGAGCCACCCCAAACACTAACTCTCCCTCGGCAACCTGGGGACCGAGCGTCACTTGCTCCTCTTTAACAACCTTCGGCTTACGTGGTGCCATATTACCTGTAAGTTAGCGATTGACAAATTTAAATAAAAATTTTGACGAATCTAGCCAAAATTTTGAGCAAAAGACAAATGAAATAATGGATGAAAAAAGATTTAATTAAACCTTACAAAGCGGCCACAGCTCGACAAAATAAACAGCGTAAAAAAGAAATTTAACAACATCCGGTTTAACTAAATGACAAAATATGTGGCTCCTTAAAAATTATAGCGCTAAAATTTTAAACAAACCCATTTGTAGTTTGTCATATATTTAGAATAGGTTTATAGCAATAAGGATTGGGCTTCGGAAAAGAAATATAAAAATGATCCTACGATCCTTGATAAAAAAATTAGACACATCTGTAAGTGTTTTTATTTATATGTCAAATAGGATATATTAGCAGCAAATGCGGGTAGTTTTAAAAAATGGCTCCGATGCTTACAGCTCAACTACTATGGCTCAATTGTAATAAGGTCATGTTTTTTTCTTTTCGAAGTCGTTCAGCAGTTAAAAAACAGTACAGTGGTGCAAACGCTTCCAGGTCAACTTCCAGTTTAATAATTATGGTTCAATTCAAGACACAATTTTGAGCGGTGTGATAGCCTGGTGGTTGAGGTCGCCTGGTGCTGGTTCGCAGTGCGTTCAGTGACCGGATTCTATTCGATTATATGACAAAATAATCCCCACAAATCACATGCTTCGTGTGTGATGCGTCGTTTAGCACGTAATCATGAACGATGTTTGTGTGTTGTTGATTCCTCGGAACCTAGAAAGAGTGCAATTGACTTTCAATCTTTTTAAACTCCTGTGTCCTAATTATAATGAATGCCTGACGTAAATGCTCACTGAGATCTCAATGTTAACGCTGCCAATCCTTCCAGTAGAGTTTATAACAAGAACACAAGAAGACAAAACAGACAGGTATGAAATACGATGACAAAATGTGAAAGGAAAAAAAAGCATGTTTGACGTAGAATGTTCAACGGAGAGGGAAATAAACGAAACGAATGAGCTCAGGTCAGATGTGCTTTAATATTAAGTCAGTTTTAGACTTACGCTTAAAATTAATTTATGTAAATTTAAATGATTAAATCGTGGAGAGATGTTTAAAAAAAGATTGGTCTACTAAATGAATACAAGAATTTAGACTTAACAGTTTCATGAAGTGAAAAATTTTATGAAGAAAAAATAAACAGTTCTAGAAGACATTTAAATTGAATCTATCTTGTTACATATTTGAAAAGCTTCATGATATTTTCCAAGCATAAATTTAAATATATAATAAAATTTTCCGTTGCATCCCATGCTAATATGCTGTTTTAAACAACCACATCGCTGCCAGTGATTTCAACAGAGAATTTTTGAAATGGAAATAGTTACGTATGTATATTTTAAAAAGAAGATTTAGCGAAATTACTCTAAATGAAAAAAAAAACATTTTTAAATCAATCTGAAAAATTAAAAAATGTTTTTACGTAAGAATTAGATCAATACTAGAAAAATAGTGCGTTCATGCAGTGACAACTTTGACGAGGTGACCAAAAACTTGAAAACGTTTAAATTTTCACGAGGAGCCAAAATTTTTATGGGGGGCCAAGGTTTGTGGTAGTATGGCTGACGATCTTTTTTTGCTTATCAAGTCCAATTTTTGATCGATCTTACACTTAAAACTGCTAACAACGGGGGGGCAGTGCCTTTGGTCCCCCTAGATCCGAAACTGCGTGTATGTGTGTGTTGAATTGTGTAAAAATTGATGGATCGGCGTAACAACTTTGTAAGCAAAATACATCTGATAATTGCTGATGAATACTTGTATTCATCAGATATTCCCATGAAGAAACTATGTTAAAGTGAAAATAATTTAGATTGACTTTAATGTTATGCTAACGATTGATGTTGCATCTGATTTCTACCAATAACGATCCTACGCTCTTTGTTGTCGCTGCTTGTTAAGCTGCCAAAGTAACAATTAGAGACCTAATTGATTTTGTCGTTAAAGTTATGTTAATTAGGTAACACCTTGCTACCAATAAAGTAACCGATAATATTAATAACACTTTGTTTGATTAGTTGATCAAAATTTAGTTACCACATCTTTGATTGGCCGGTCGAACTGGGTATATAAAGCAATGGTTTTGATGAACAACAATTATTTACGACAGACATTTAATAATCAGTTACTGTGTTCTCATAAAAACAAATACAACTACTAATATAATTACTACTACTACTACTACTACTACTACTACTACTACTACTACTACTACTACTACTACTAATAATAATACTACTACTTACTTCTACTATACTACTATAACTACTACTACTACTACTACTACTACTACAACATTAAAAACCACTACAACAGCAACAAAACCAACCACAACAACTCTAACTACATAAAAATCCACATCATTACAAGCAACTACTACAAAAACAAAAACAACAATATGGACATGAACAACGTTAACAGCCATATGTCTGTTGCAATCAATGAAGAGGACTTTCACACAGTGTACAAGACGATGGGCGAATTATCGTTGAGAAACATAGAAGATATCGTCCAAATTTACAATGTAAGTAGTCTAATGTTTGTTGCATTTTGTAAGAATTGTTGTAACTTATGTTTGTTAGTAAATTTGCTTTTGAAAAGATTTTAACGGATTATTTTTCTCATTCACTGCAGGAGAATAAAAAGTTAAAAACAATATGCGAAGATTTCCAACTGAGACTTGCACACCTGGAAAAACAACTGAGATTGGCGAAGACTATAGAGGAAGAAGCCGAAGAGGAAATGAAAGCGATGAACGCCGAAATACAATCTTTAAGTAAGTAGTGCTCCATGTATTTATTTCATAATTTAATCATTCATCCTAACTTTAATTATTTTCAAAAATAATTAAATAACATCTTACGCATTTCTTTTTTACATTTTTATAGAATTAGAAAACAAAAGACTGAAGGAAGACATCAAATCGGCAATGAATAAGAACCATGACATTGAGGAAATTTCAGAAAAAGATGCTGACAGAGCAACTTACAAAATCTGTCTACTGGACATGTAAGTTTCTATTTCCAAACATAATTTCTTCATACAAACACCAGCATGCTTTTTTATGCGTAATTTTCAACATTTTCATATAAAAATAAATCAAATGCTAAATCTATCTTTTACATTTTTCAGAATATGTAAACTAAAAAAAGAGTTGAAAGATTGTCAAGCAAAAAACGACGCTTTAGAATTGGAAAAAAGTGTAAGAAATATCTATAAGGCCGACGACAGCAATAATAAACTAATCAAAAACAACCTGGACATCAACAACAACCACATTGACATCATCAACAACTTGGATCTCAACTTTGAAAAAAACATCAAGAACAACGTTGAAATCAGCAACGACAACCTTAACATAGAGAACAAAAATATCTACGACGACTACAGGAACGTCCCAAACGAAATCTATAATAACAAAAACAACAACAATGACAACAACATTAATGACAACAACAACAATGAACAAAACTTATTCAACGAACTGGACATTATGCCTCATAGATACATCGAATCCGACGATGAATCTGACGTCATAAGTAAGCAGCACTTAATATTGGCGTCATTCAATTTTTTCTTTATATCATTTTATAATAACAAATTTTTCGATAATATCTAAAAATCCATCAAACTAATAATTATTATTTATTCCAACAGTAATCCAAGATTACGAAAACGTTGACGATTTGAAACAGGAAATGGAACAGATGCGAACTAAGATGAGCAAGCTGAGGTTAAAGATAATCCGAACAGAAGGATCGAATGTTGACGACATGGATGAGTTGGACTAACTGCAGATGGATGGAGTAGTTGCATCGTTGGAGATTGTATATAGTGTAAATAATTGCTTTTTCTTATATGTGCTATTTTCTTAATATATGCTTTTTCATTTAATTTCTTTTTTCATTGTGATAATAAACTGTTAAAAAAATTCAAACGATCTTGTCTGTTTATAAACTTTAAAAAATGACGTTAAATGTTAAACTTTTTATTGACACATTCACATGGAACCGCTTCTACATCAAAATTCAACATAGCGATTATTAATATAGTTGTAATTTTTATTAGGCAGACGAATGTTTGGCGTAATAGTTCTAAAAATTGCAGATTTAATTAAAAAAAATTTCTTGTTAATTAATCTCGTTTTATAGCAGTTTAAAAACTTTAATGCAATTCTACATCTTCAATCACCAATTTCATTTCAATAATCGTAGCCATAAATAGGGAAGCTCCAATAACTTGCACCAACCTCCACCACAACATTCAAGGTCAACCAGCTTCTTCCATCTTTCAATTCGCAACTACACCCACCAGCAGCAGCAGACACTGACCGCACGTTGAATGCGGCACAAGTGGACCTCTGCAAGCACTTTGAAAAGCAGTACTTCGATGAACATCTTTTAATGAACACCACCTCCAGGCTCTGGCTTTCTATGTAACTGCCCGTCATACGTTTCAAAGCTTTTTTCTGTCTGATAGCTAGACGAGTTGTGTTTGAGTTTTTAAAGTTCAGTCAGGATAATTTTCAAATTTCTATTCATACTTTTAATTCTTAGAGCGTGATTGTTTCAACCGCAAAAATGATTAAATGGTTAACATTCAAATCCATAAGCTGGCAACTCACGATCAACTGAAGATGTTCTCTCGCAGATGAAAGTGTAAGTGGAGTTGCAATATTTGTCTTTCCATTTCCAATCTGGAAACGACAGCCTAGTGCAACAAGTATCTTCGTTTGGTTCATCGAGTATTAAATTCCAATTTTGGTATTTGATTTCAGTGCCATCGAGCCAGTAGTTGTAGTTGTTTTGATTCAGAAAGCATTGCAGTCTGTACATGCCGATCCAGTAATCCTGGGACGTTGTTGCTGAGCTTGGTAATGTGTTGGTGCATAAATTTATATTCAAATATCTGAGATTGATACAAAATATAATATAACAGATTATAAACACGGTAATGCATCAAGATGGGACTGAATAAGATTGAGAAAGTAGTTGGAGTGATTTTTTAACTATTTCGTAATATACAAACTTGTTTTGGAGAAAATCATTTTCTTCCTGGGATCCGACGCTGGCCAGCAAACTGCCCATACCCAAGCAAGAGTTGAGAGCATCATTAAAATCCTGATGCACCATTGAGAAATAGTAGCAGGATCCGCTGTATCCCAGCCAATCAGGATTGGGACACTCTCCTATCACTATGAAAATTATTTTCTCGTTCACTAATTCGCATTTACGTTCATATGCAATCGCTATTTTTAATTTTTAATGTGTTTTTGCCATAAATTACCTTTTATAGTTAATTTATTGATTGATTGAATACATAAGTGAATGAATAAATCCAAGAATGAATGAATGAAGGAACGAACAAACGAATGAGTAGATGAGTGAATAAGTAAATGAATAAAAAGCAATCCAACAAACCTAAGCTCCTACCGATTGCACCAAACGCACATGTCAAACTCAGAACCAGCAGTGGAACTAAATTAAAATTATAAAATACGTCCTTGTGTTTATGGGATTTTCCAGAAAGATTTATGAATAATAATTATATAAATAATAATATAAATAAGGAAAAATAATATTAGTATTATTTTTATTTACTATTATTATTTTAATAAAACTATTTATGATAATAATATTATCGTTTTTAGTAATGTTATTTAAATTAACATCAGTTGTAGTTGTAGTATTAAAAACAACGAAACGAACCTCTTTTAAGATTAAACTTCTCGGTGCAATTACTCTTTCTGACATTTTTGGGTTTCGTCAAAAGATTCTTAGCAAACATAGTGACGGTGATTTATAAAAAACCAATTTTTGAATTTCAATCAGATCAAACTGTCTTTAATATTTTCGATGAAAGACCAAACCAATAGACTGTGGCCGCGTTATTTATAATCTTTTAAATGACGTCATGTGCTATTTTTATGGTCACGTGAGGTGTGAACTGTTTAAACTATTTTATTCTGTGTTGAGATATTTTGTTTAAAACGTTTCAACCTAATTTTTTAAAATGCGTGTCTTGTTCTTTAGATGAATCGATAAAGTTATCTTAATGCGTTCGTTTGTTTCATGTTCGCCCATGTTTGTTCATATTCATAATGTGTTTTCATTTAAAATGTTTTTTAAAAGTATGTTCATTCATAATGTGTTTGCTTATAAAGTTTGTTCATAAATTATTCCTTCATATCGTGAACAGAAATTTATGAAAACAATTTTAAAATGACAGAAAAATAGTTTATCTTTTTTCTTATTAAAAGGATCTAAATACCATAGTCTGTTTAATATTTATTTATTAATTTTATTTTCTTATCATTTCTTTGACAAATTTTATTATTCAAACAGGAAAAATTATGAACAGACGTAGCTAATGGGTTTAACATTATCTTCAGCAGGAAGAATGGAATTGAAAGGTGTAAATGTTAATAAAACTCATTTTGTCTTAAATATCTATATAATCTTTGTTGCTTCGTGTTTAGCCTTTAGAAAATACATCTTTGACGTGTATTTTTTGCTTTTAACAAACTATTAGTGCCCATAGAAATCCATAGAAATCATTGAAACGTTTTAAATATTTTGCGCTGATTATTGCCTGTGTGTTTGTGCGCGCGTGTGCTGACTACAACAACACATTTGCTAAATTTTTGTCAAATTTGAAAGAAGCTGTTTGCATGCTTTATTCCCGCTTATGAATCGTCTACAGTATTTTCAGGTGAGAAAGCCAAACGTAGTTGTTATGCCCATGTTTCTAGGCCTAAATGAGTGAGCGTGTGTTATTTTCTGTAAAGTTAGGCTTGTGTTGTGCACCAAACTGCTCAGTGCAGAGGAGTATTTTTGAGGAACTTCTCGGATAGACCATGTACCCACCCACTCACTCACCCTAATTCAAACTGTCATAATTGTAAAATAATTCATACTTAAAATCGTCTATTTAAACACACTAAAACACACAGACATATACACCAACACATATACAAAAAGCACAGAGACACGTGCATGTATATGTATATATATATATATAAATGAGTGTGTGTGTATATATATATACACTCATATAAATTTATATAATATATATATATATATAATATATATAGATATATATATACATATAAAAAATTTTACTTTTTTTCTTTACCCCACCACTTATCCATTGGTCCATGGTGGTTACAAAAATTAACACAGTTTAGCAAGGTACTTATTAGTCCTTTGGTCTTTAACTTTGAAAATCCAAAACAAATGAAACATAAGTTTTAATTATAATGGTGTTTTATTTTATTTCTAATAAGTATCGACAAAATGTTGTATTTTACGATTAATAAATATTTTAATATTATTATAGAAATTATTTATGAAATTCTAATAATCAAGATAAAATAGTTTTAATGCTTCAAACTAGCTACGTTTTGATTCGGCGATTGAAATGTAATTATAAATTAATTAATTTTTATTTGGACAAGTTGTTAGATAACGGGATTTAAATAAAAAAAATTATCCAATATGGAGTGCCGTGGCTATTTAATTTCTTTGACGAGGTCAAATTCATATTTCACACTATTATCATGAGTTCCGTAATTTATAATTTATTCAAAATAATGCAGTTTTTAAGGATAAGCAACGGCTTGAAGCCAAGATTTATTTAATTTATATACAGATAAGGTTATATTTTACTTTAGGCCTAATAGAAATATCCGCTATGGATGGCTCTAATCCCAAAACTATTCTCTTGCTATACGCACCTCTGATAATATCGGAGCAATGGAGAACAGAAAATACGATTTTCGAAGTATGGTTTAGTTTCGTTTTTTTATTTTTCTAATTCATTCATTTTCACTCAATTTTTCCAATTATTTATCCATTAATTGATTCATTTTATCCATTTATTGATTCATTGAATCATTGATTGATTAATTAATTAATTCATTCATTCACTTAATCATTCAGCTAATAATTCGTTCTAGCATTTATTTACTACTACGCTAATAAAAAATTTTGTCTACAGAATGATCAGAGGTGGGTTGTGGTGGGCGTCAGCTCGTTTCAGATGGTGGTCTCATGATGATAGTTTCAATGGCAATTGGAAGATAACAACAATAGCAATAATAATAAATGTTAACGGGGAAGACTTCGTTGCATCTCAGTGAACGAAGAAGTTCCTGGAGAGTACACGCGCGCACATTTACACACACACACACACACATCTATACAACACACACATACACAACATCCATTCATTCGCTGTCGTTGTTGTTATGTTCCTCTTCAACCTTCTATTTTCATTACCGGACTTAATTTAATTCATAGGTAAGTTAGGGATCGAGGTGAGTTGGACAATCGTAGGTAGGCTAGGGCTTAACGTAAGTTCCAAGTAAAATAAAACGTTAAAATATGTAAAATAAAACATGTAAAATTTATAAAACACAGAAATACAAATTTGTAGGTAGGTAGGTGAGTTGAGTTAATCATTATAGTTAAGCTAGGGCCCTGAGAGTAATTTAATTGTAGGTAGGTGACTGACTACTATTCTTGCGACTTTTTACTAACTTCCCAAGCTATGGTATATTGTTTGATTGATAATTATATTAACAAAAATAAGGAAAACGACAAAAATTTTTATTGTTATTATAAAAACAATGTTAGTTTATTTAGTTCCTTTAAAATTTCATTGTTACCATTCGACCCTTGTAAAAAAAATTGCAAAGGAGTTTTCAGCAGTCTCGAGGCGTCATGCCATACTTCAATGTTGCAAGAAAATAAAATTTGGCTCAGAGTATTATTCAAGACTTGTAAACTGATTGGAAGCTGGAAGTGTAATGTCTCTATTGCTTTGCCATCCACTACAGTTAGCGGGTGCTCCGTGTTTTGCTAAAAGTGGGTTGAAATTATACAACGGTTTAGTTGTTGAATCCATTGTTGAATGAGTAATCCATTATATAGGAATTTTTTGATACTAATGAATTTAAGTAGCGTAGAAGAGAGTGCATTTCTTTTTAACTGTCTGTTACCAGATGAGATGTTTATGGAAGAATATATTGAGAACTTATGACGTTTAAAATATTTCTTGTTAAACATAAAAATGAAATATTTAGTGAAACAAAGATTGAAAAGTCACCAGGTGAACTTTATTGCAATCAGTGGTATAACAGACGACATCGCTCGTTTTAGCCGACAATAAATATGATGAGTTTTTTCTATAAAGTCCTCCCAAATTAATTTCGCTTGAGACGTTATACCTCTTGTAACATTCATTTTCTAGTAACTTTTTGCAGAGTTCTTCCTGGAACGAATAACTTTTTTTATAATAAATTTAAAATGCATTTCTTTAATTTTGTCCACCGAAGACCAAAAAGATATTTGTAGACATTATGCTAGTCGCTTTTTAAATTGGTCGGTTACAATTTGTTTTGATTAATTTTGGTTTAATAAATTTAAATCATCAATTTTTGAGTTGTGTTTATTTTTCGGGTTTCCAGACTATAAATTATAACAGAACGGGTCGAATGAAAATGACAGATTGAAAGAAAACTCACGCAAGGTACTGGCCTTCCGACGATGACGTCCAACTTCAGGTCTGCGAGGTTCGTCCTCGAGTCAACGCTCCAGAGAATAATCACTGAATATATGTGCAGTGGGTTATTATCCCTTGTGGAGAATGTTTTGAAATCACACAAAGTCCCGTAGGTCGAATCAGGACATTTTAATTCACCGGCTTTATTAGGCATCAAGTTCCTGAAAAATATTTAGTTACAACCACTCGAGATGTACTAAGCCGGGAAATATTTATTTATTTAAATTAAATTTATGAAGTTTCAATTAAATTTACTAATACATGTTATATCAATTAATTGCAAACAATTATTATATTGCCTATTGAAAGATATGTTGCGTGAAACTTTGAAAATCCTCTTACAATTCTTTGCCCGTCTGAGAGTTAGCACCAAGGGAAGAGTGGAGGGAAAATTCAGAAATCTGACTCAGAGAAGTAATGGTGCTTCCTAAACATTCCTCCACGCTCATTCTGGAGTGGCTGGCGTTTCTGACTACATTGGCGCTATAGCATCAAGAAATTTTTTATTTATGACACCATCATGTGCGTGCTTTTGGTGAAATTTAAATTACTCATGCTTATTTTACAAACACACACACACAACACACACACACACGAAGAAGATAGATTGATAAGTGCCTTGAAAGCGTCTTAAATTTTATTTATTCTTAGCATTTTTTAGAAGTTTCTCTACAGTTTCAAATTTGTTCTCTATTGGTTTCCGAGATTTAAAGATCTTTTCCAATCACATGCAATGTGATTTTATGAATAATTAGTGGTTTTAACGCGTAATCAGATAAGCAATGAGTGTGTGTTTGTGTGTATGTTGTATGTATGTTGTGTACATGAATATATGTGTGTGTGTTGTGTGTATGTATGTGTGTGTTGTGTGTGTGTTTGTTGTTGGTGTTACTAAGTATAAATTAATAAGATTATTCTGAACGGTGAAAATATATTTGTTAAAAAAAATTAATCATTTCAAACACAGATCTTGCAATGGTTAAGACGCCGAGAATCGTATTGCTGTAACTGATCACATGCAATCTATCTGATGATACGTGCACCGTGTTGTTGTTGTAGGTGCCTCTAAGAAACATTAATATTAACGAGAAAATTTTCATAAAAATGTAGAAACATACCCATACAAATATGCTTGGTAATTTTTTTGAAGCTTTGGCATGTTTTCATATAATCTATTGAACTTCGATTGGGTTAACATGTTCATCACGTCATCTCCACCATCGCCTTCCGCTCTGTGTGTTGCTTCACTGGAAAGGTGAAATGTGTTTTTGAAGTTAAGTTCGTAAAAACATTTCACGAGGGTTAACGCAGTAACATTTTAACAAACAAAATTATATTATGTTTAATTTGAATTTATTTTTATTTAAATCACTTGTTAAAGTTATTTGTAAGAACTCTGTCAGCGGCAGGTTTTATTTGTGCAGGTGTTGAAATACTCGGCACAACAAACCCATTCATCAGATGAAATATTGACTCAGCAGCCGAGTTTATTACAGATTTCTCTTCAAATATGGTGTCCTTAGCAACAACAAACATAGCTTTTTCTTTTGTGCTGACAAGAAAATTTTATGTTATAAAAAAATGTTTGAAACTAACGAAACTTTGAAGTTAATAAACTTAAGAACATGTTAAACAACTATTTTTTATTATATGAGGTTAAAATTTTCAATTCAATTTATTCGTGATTTTCAATTTCATAATCAAAGAGGATGTTCTTTGTAGTTGTGGTTCATCCTTTCATACATTCATCACTGCTGCTCCCATGAATGTGGCATTGTATTTAGTTAATCAATTAATTATTTCACAAACTTGAGACGTGTTCCCCGCTTCATTAATTGTTTGAATATTCATAATATTTTTATAAATTTTTGCTCAGTGGCGGATTTAGAGACAACTTTGACAGAAGACGGGGAGGCCGAAATGTTTAAATAATAAATTTTTTGCTAATCACTTCAAATTTGCATTTTGGTGGATTTTATTTACATAAAACGATGTTTTTTTAGGCAAAAACTGAGCTTTACTGACTTTTTAAAAAAAAACTTCTCATAATGGAGGCCATAGCCTGCCCACCCCTTAATCCGACATTGTACTTGCCTGTATATTCTAAAATATTTTTTCCAGTAAGGCTCTTCCTGAAGCACTTGAAAAAAAATTATTTTTCAAAAAATTTTGATACCCACCTAAATTTAACCTTTTTAAATTTGTTGTCTTCTGACAAATCTTGACGTCCATACCCTGACCTATAGTAAAAGAAAATTCAAAGCTTGCTTTTATATTTGAAAAATTAATTAAATTCTTTTAATGAAATAATTTTTTTACTGTCATCCGATTCTTATTTATTAACAATATCCTCCCAAGTCAATGGTTTAAATTTAACTTTGTGTGAATATTTTGTGCAATATTTAAGTTAATTGTGGAAATAAAATATAAAAACATTCGCACATTAATTCCTATATATTATTGCTTCGTACATTTTATAAATGTTTTGAAAATTTATACAGTTTACAAGTGAATTTGTTGGAAAAATTATTAACTAGGATATGACATATCTTCAAAAATGAAACCAAACGCTGAAACCTCTCTATATCGGTCAAATTCGTTGAAGAAGCCCATTTTGACTTTGAATTGGAACCTATGCAATTTTCAAAATTGACAAACATGTTAAATCTTAATTCGAAAACACAACTCAAAATTATCGTAAGTTATGTTTTATAAACTTTAAGTAAATTTAAAAATTTATTCACGGGAAAAATGTTTTTTTTTATGTGTTAATAAACCAAAATTTTTCCACAAAACCATTGAACTAGTTATATTCACGGTAAAAAACGCGAGTTAAACATTGATGTAATTGGTTTTGAATTTTCACTTAAATGAAACATGTCAGCCAAAGGAAGAAATTTAAAAAAGGACAAGATAGTCACACAGAAAAGATAGTTAATCTGACTAACTAGTCGTAAATATTGACATTCAACAATAGAAAAAATGGCAAAAAAATGAATGAAAATTGCGAAAAAATGGAATGACTCTATGTTATTCTGTCAAACTCATTATTTTCATATATTAACATAACTTAAATAATTAAATTATTTACCTAACAAAATTATTCATTAGAATTTAATAATGAGTCTGTTATAAAGAATAACCAAACTGGTTAATCTGAAATTTTTTGAAACAAAAATATTAGCTCACCATCAGCCAAAAAACACAAACACGTAAAACCTGTTTCGGAGGATTTTGTCCTGCTTCTAGTTCCAAATATTTTTTCAAAAAACTTAGACATCGAATAAGTGAACTTTAATAATTTGAAACATTGGAAAAAAAAGACTTACATATTCAAACTATGTTTGTGTGTGTTCTATCTTAATTCCAAACATCATCTGAAATTAGAACAGTCATATAGTTAAGAAATATAAATACTAAATTAAGGAGTATTAAAAATGTTGGACTTTGGTAATTGTTAAATTTTATAAACTCAAGTGTTATGCCACACACTCGCACACGTTTGTCAGGAAAGTGGTAAGTACGAAAATTCTTGGAAATTGTTGGTGGGATTTTCCTCAAAATATGTAAAAACCAAATTTCATAGAAACAGTAGCAACCGTAATTATTAAAATTTTCATACTACATCAAGTGGCTAGTATATCATTTTCAATTACGCTCGCGTGAAACCAGGTTTTTGTTATCTTGGGTATACTTATAGTGCGTGTCTAAAATTTTTAAAATATTGTGTTGTTAAATCATTATAGAATTTTCAATTTTTTGGATTTACAACATTTTGTCGTTCAATCAGTGAAGTAAAAATCATATCAACCAGGAAAATTATATTGTTATAAACGCGGGAATGATCGAATTGCGCTATCTTCTTTATTATTTGGTTATTATTACCTTTGCTATATTTGTAATCTTTGAAAAAATTGTATCTTCTATACTAAAAATTGACTATAAATACGTCCTACGTAGTGAGATTTAGAAGTCGGGTTTAAAAGGAGGTTGCCACTAGAGGAAGTCAGGTCGTAAATGTGAGTTATGTAGTTACTTGAATTATCTGTAATGTTTCTGGAATTAATTAGAAAATTAGAAATCTAGAAACATTGCAGATGAGTGAATAGACAATAGAGAATTACTTGAAACAGTTAATGTTTCTATTACTGTTGGTATTAATGTAAAAGTTCGACAAAGTTTGAAACAGTTGGAGATTTTGAACCTACAGAATAACGAACACTGGATGATCGTAGGAAGCTACAAACACAGGTGTTAGAAATATATGTCATGCAAACACTCTCAAAACTGAATGTATATTATTAAGCCGAAAATTTTCGACAAATCTTTTCCATGAGTTAGAAACTTCGTTATGTTTTATTTCGGATTAGAGGGTGGACCATTTTAAATGCAGTTTTCCCGGAGTGCTTCTTAATGTCAGTATCCCTCCTTAGACCTCCTCCCCAGATCTGCCACTGGTCGTGGCTGCTGATTAGGATCATTAACTTAGATTAACCTAGAGGGCCAAGATTGAAATTTGATTGCTACGCTGGCTGGTGTTTACATTGCTAGTAACTCTAACAAAAACTAAAAAGATAGATCCATTCTGAATCCATCATAAGTTTTTTGAATAACTCGTCATTGCATTGTCTTGACCGAATCAAAATCGTATCGTCGTTAAGGTTTCTACATTTCATAATTAAATATTGTAGGTGGGAAAATGGTTTGTAACTGTGTGTTTGATAACTTGCTGTTAAAGCTTGATGAGAAATTGTGAGAATTGTAAATGGGCTAAGACGACAACAATGTTCTAAATTAGTTTTAAAAAATACATTTTCAAAACCAGTTAACTGATTGTTTGTCTCTCAGTGAATCAAATCAGATTTCTTGCTTATATTTAAATTTCTACGAGTTCCTATTTGAGTCTAACTATGCTGACTTAATTAAAACATGATAGTATGTAGGCATCGTTAGAATGAATAAGCAGGTAGGTTAATTATATGCGTGTGTTTCAGTCTGAGTGGAAAATTCCATTAAACCATTTTGTTTGTTCTAATTGTGTATGTGTATGTATGTTTGTTTGTTTGTATGTCTTTATGTAGAATTGTGTGCTTTTTTGCTTATGTGTGGTGCGTGTGTTATCTTATATGTTATCTCATACCCCATCACACATTTAACCATATTTTTTTAAATTTTATCACTATAAAATCTGTATATAAATACATCAAATAGAATATAATTGCAAATGATTCTAATTCAATTTTGCCAAATATGTATTTATCATTTAAAATTATTTATAAAAATTACATTGAAATATATTAAACCTGAATAACGATATTGAAAAATAGCTACACGTAGTAACATAGCAAACCAAGGCAATGTATTATAATACATATAACGTAATGAGTTAGATGATATTCAATATTGAATCAGCTAATGAGCTTTTTGTTTTAAAATTCATCATGTATAC